CAAGTACTGTGGATAACAAGGATGTTAATTAACAAAATGTGAAGCATTGCAGGTCAGAGGCTGCCTCCACTTCTGGACTGTTGCCTTCTAGTTAGTTAAGGTTGCTATTTTTGTGAGCCCTCAAGAAACAAGAGCCTTGTGTTAACCAATAAAAATGTAATGGAGGGAGCAATGCGGTGGAATGGCACTATAAATAATGAAGGAGACGTATCTTGCTTTCACCACAACCTGCATTTTAAAGCTCTCACACACATAAACAGACGGGCATGTTCTCTTCTAATTCATGTTTTCACCAAGCTGCCAAGTAATCATTCACAGAAACACATGCTTGCTCACAAACTCGCACATCACTTATTGACTCTTATTTGCTTTCTGTGCTTCGACGGCATAGCAGCCACAACCTCCTGCGCCATCCCACATAGAAATCACTGAACAGAGAGCAGTTAAGAGAGTGTGCTCTCTGAGCCTAGAAGGCATTATTAACAATGCAGAGAGGCTGAAGTCGATCAAAGCAGGTGTTACAATGCCACGCCTTACCACTGCCTCCACTTCCTTCTGGGCTGGTTTCAAGTTCTTACTGCCTGACAAAAGGAGGTGGGTGAGTCTCATGGCTGATGATAGTGCAAACAAGACTGTGCTAACACTGTGGGCCAACAATGCTGCATTCGGGTCTGTGGTCTTCTCATATAAATCATATAGGTTGTGTCATGGGTGTTGATCAGAAGTACAGACTCCTTGGTGAGTCTCATCACTGATGTTAAAAAAGTGCAAAAAAAACCATATAGTTTAATTATGATTTTGTTTTGTTAAATTAAATTGCATTAAAGCATAAGGCTGGTTATTTTCTATATTAATAGTATTTTCAGCTATCTCTATACAGAGACAAAAATCAACAATGACTTTCCTCTACTCACAGTTAACATACAGCAGTGGTTCTCAAACATTTTTTGTCATTCCCCACTTAAGAGGTTGGACGAATTTTCAAGCCCAACTTGTCAAAAAAAAATAACGAAATCGGCCAATTTTTAAAATTCAAATGTATTGAAATATCAAATAACTTGGTGTTATCAAATAACACCAAGTTCAAAACAGATAAAATATAAGTGCAACTGTATCGTTTGACAGGGGGATAGTTTTCAATTTTGCACCACTTGCCTCATCCAGCATAACCTACACCATGTCTACAGCAGCAGGCAGAATGAGCTGCTCAACAATTGTGTGGGATTTTTTGCACTGTGCAATTCTGTATGCAACTTTGAAGGAAGCCATTTGTGCTTTGCTGTCCACTGATGTGGATTTTACCATGCGATTTTTCTGCTGTATGTCTGTATTCTGCCAGTCGAGTGGCTTATTAACGTGACTGGGGTGTGTTGTCTCCAATTGTCTTCTTAATTTGTTGGGTCTTATTGTCTGTTGCCAGCAGTTTAAGACACAAGACACACATGGGTCTCTCCTCTGCCCACACCATTCCCACAGTGAAGCCAAGCGCAAGACAGGCTTCATCATGTTTCCTTTTCAGCTGGCTTTTTGGTTGATAAGGCTACTGCCTGTCGTTTCTTTATCTACTGAATCACCTACTTTTTTTGTGGTCCATGTAACAAATTTATCCATTTACGTTGTTATACCTACTACATATGTGGTGGTTAAAAATAAATCAGATTCCAGAAGAAATATGTAATAGAACAGTATGTACTTCACATATAGACATTATTTGTACTTAGTTTATTATTTGTCCTTATTTGAGCTGAGTGGTTTTGGGTTTATTAAGTTCATGTGAGGTGGACAATGGGCTTATGTAAGTGGTTATATAATTAATACTTAGAATCCTAGTTAAAGCCTAAGTATGGTCAGAGATGAACCCTGAAAAAAAGGAGGGAGCCTGAGGAGAGGAAGAAGAACCATGCTACCGTGAGCAGTGGATCACCAGCCCGGCCTCGGAGGGCTGGTGGGAGATGACGACTGACTGGGGCTGACTGACTCGGGACTGACAACCAATGACCCAACTGACTGGTGCTTTAACAATCTTCTTAGGCTTTATCTATTCCATTGCAAGAGGAGAGTCTCCGTTCTCTGTTCTCTGTTCCTTAACTACAAGATTATCTGTTTAAATACTACTCTATTCAGAATAATTGTAATATTAAATGATCCTTTAAATTGTAATGGTTTGTCTGAATTAATTTAGTAGGTATCACACTCTTGCCACGACACATACACTATTGGCCCTCTGTGTGAACATTTCCTTATATTGTTGCGCGGCAGTTAACATGTCGACGTTAAACCGTTATTGTTGCACTATGGTTCCACTTTTTTCTCCCGGGCCCCGAACTGATGTTATTTTAATTTACCTGTATTAATGACCCATTTCTAATTTTTTCCGTTCATTGTGCCCCACCTGTCATGTCTTTATGCCCCACTAGTGGGGCGCACCCCACACTTTGAGAACCACTGACATACAGTATGTCAGCTGTCAGTCCTGAATTAGCTTGTTTGTCTGTGCAATAGATCTCCATAGTTATTATTTATTATTATTTAAAATGCACCGCTGCACTTGGTGATACGTTTTTTCAGTACGATACCCCAGACCCAAATATGTTGCCCCAAAGGCTCTGAGCTACCATAATTTCCTAAAGTTAGCATAAGTCATGGTCAAATGCATACATTTTCTGCTTTGTTTACATTCTGCTAGCTCCTCACTCTCAGGTCTGGGGTTTGCTAATGAAGAAATATGTGCAGTGGTGTGTCTCACCGATCTGTTTTTGACCAACAATGTTTAATACCAGAAATCTCCAAAACATGAGCAAAGGTACATTTGAAATAATATACAGAAACATAGCAAAGCAGGTTTATTTGACTTTGGCTGAGCAGCAGAACCATACAATTCTAGCCCTTCAACTAGTCCTTAAAATCTTTTACAGCTAGGATACTTTCAACTTGTGTAAATGCCCTTTGTTCTTATGGCAAAATATTACCTGCTAACTGTCTCTTGATAAGCCTCCAGTCTACTGCTGCATAAAACAATTATAAAAAAATTCAAGCCAATTAGCATTGTGTATTATTACATAGATACTGCTGGGGAAGGAAAGACAGGAGGGGAAAAGAACTGAACAATGCCTCAAAATAATCCAGACTCCCTTCGGCCTAAACACCCTGAGAGGTTTTGTGAAGCTATATACTGTACTACTATATACTGTCCACTGTGTGTCTGATGTCATTATGCTGTAGAACAAAGCTGATATGTGCATAATACAACCCTCAAACTAGTATCTTAACTCAGTTCTGTCAGCCCAATAACAGAAAACGAGTTGTAACATGAAGCACCATATTCAAAATTGCTGAGATGTGAGTGGGAGGATTCGTTTACCTGACTGTGAGAGGAAAATAATTGGCTTTATAACCCTGTAACATGATTTAGGATTATTATTATTATTATAAATGGTCTTTGTGTTTTTGTGGATGCAAGTTAGACACACAGATCCACACTAGAAGTGCCGGTGCTTTATAGGAGTGTCTTACTGTAATTCCCCATTCACTATCCTGCTGGCTGACAGACAGATACTTTATCAGTTGCACACATTTGGTACAAGATACAAAGACTAATGGACAGACAGAGAACATGCTAACAGAATTTTCTAGACACCAAGAATAGTTTGCTTTAATGAGAGTAAACCTCAATGACTGTACAGATGAATACAAACAGTACAACTCCATAATTCACAGCAGTTAGTGCTGAAACAGTGACTGAGTGTGAGTGAACGGGTGCATTTATAATCATCCACAGGACTTTCTCAGTTCTTGTTTACTCCATGGATACACCTGAAATCAGTGCAGTTCCACTGGCTAACCCCTAATCAGGCCAATATAAAATATAAATGCTGTGGACAAGCAAAACTAATTTTCTATATTGAGTTCAGCAAATGATAACATCAAAGAAGATGCAGAAGAGTGGCTGGTGAATAAACCATGAGCAGAATGGAGGTGAGGAATCAATGCTCTGCAGTGGTAAGGCAATGAAGGTGACACTAATGCCACTAACCATCATGGGGCATGTCTGTTATTGAGTATATAGATGTATATTTTAATTGCTGTGGGGCCTGCAAGGCTAAATAAAACTATGGCATGACACGTTATCGAGGAAAATGCAGGGAAAGCCTGTAATAAGCCTTTTAAAATGCTTCAAGCTTGATTCTGATAAACGGATTACTAAATGGACAGGAGCTATCGGCTTCTCATCTTGTTCCTGCTCACAGGGACTACTGGGAGCTTTGTCTGAGGCAGGGACCAAAATAACACCCCAATGACTGTTCACTTTCCTTCTTTACAACCTGAAATGGGGCTTTCACAAAGATCACACAGGGCTTGCCCAAATCCTCTAACATTGTGTGACAGCAACTTTTTCATTTCTCCTTCTTTCACCATCAGACTGTTTAACTGGGAGAGAATACAATCTTAAACATCCAGAGGCCATACCTGCTCAGTCATTGCTTTCATCTGGACTGACATGAATACACAGCTGCTGATCATATGTCTCACAAATTTATTGTAACCTTGCAATTATCTGAAAAGGTCAGGACTCCAGCAACACTTGTAGTATATAGAACACCTTTAATGCAACATGTCAGCAGATCCTGATGAAGGCCACAAGCCGAAATGCTCTGGTCTTATAATAAAGTTGCTCTATACAAGTGTTGCAGGAGTTTTGACCTTTCTGAGTCCTCATCTGTCCACTTTGGCAGTGGGTGAAGTTGTGCCAGAAGTTTTTGCTTAACCCTCCGATTATCAACAGCACATTACAAAACAAACATCAGGATTAAACACAGTGAGCACCTACTGTACTTCAGATCTTTGAAGCTACACTCATACCTCTTGCTTTGTGTGTGTGTGTGTGTGTGTGTGTGTGCTGTACATAGATAAGGCAAGGTATGCTGGTGTGTGGATGGTACTGTTGGACTGAAGTGAAAGCATTCAAGTGTAAAAGGGCAGTTACTGTCCGTGCACTTAACCTGCTCTGTGTTAACTGAAGCGCTGCAAGAGGCTGTAGAAATCATCCCAGACAACCCAGTTGAACACCTATGGGAGATTTCGGACTGACCTGTTAAACAGCATCTCCACCACCACCATCATCAAAACACCAAATGAGGGAACATCTTTTGGAAGAATGGCGTTCATTCCTCCAGTAGAGTTCAGAGACTTGTAGAGTCAATGCCAAAGAGCACTGAATGTTAGTGTGTTATTGGCTGTTAACGACGTGTCACAGCACTCAGGTCAGCTGAAGGACTGCGACAAGCATACAGTATGTGTGAGGGAGAAAAATGCATGCTTTCTCTATGGTGATTTCAGGTACTTTTACAAACAAAGCTGCATGTTCAGAAAAGATGCACGCTGACATCAGCCAGGATTATGTAACAGCTCTAGGGCCTAAAAGGGAATACTGCTAAATTTTAACACTGAGAGAAGTTATTCCTATGTCAGTGCACATGTTAGACTTCGTGCTGCCCTCTGATGTTGTGTGTTACAGTGCTATAGAAACTAAACTGCAAAAAAGATGAGAAAGCTGGAAAACAGTTAAGGATTAGAATAAAGCTCTACTACAACCTACAGTAAAATGTAGCTTAGAGTAACTGTTTTATACACATGGTTCAGCTCCTTGCTGCAAGGCTTCCAGCTGAGCTAGAGAGCAACTTAAAGAACTGGCAGCGTTTGCCACGCTGGAAGCCAGTGGGAGGTCATTTCCTTGTCAATGTCCTATTAGTTGGTCAAGCTGCCTGGGATCAGGGGTGTGACTTCTGATAACACCCCACCCCCAGGCAGGTGAAGACAAGCAGCTGCTGACTGGTAATGAATATTCAGAAGCACTCTAGTATTTGGAGTACAGTGTTGATGTGCATTTTGAGCTCACTCCACACTGAGTATTGTATGGCAATTTTGTTGTGGCTTTGTGTGTGTGTTTTTGAACACATTATAAAATCTTAACATTAGCAGTGCCAAGAATTTCAGCTAAAGGAAACTCTGAGACAAGGCTGGGATGAAAGTCAACAATGCAACCAAGACCTTTCAGGAATGTTGCATGACACACAGGCTATCTTCAGCAGGTCTTTTATATGCTAGCAGAGCTGGATAAAGCCAGCGAGCGCTGCCAACGGCAGGCCTCCTGCCCCCTTTACATTCCTGTGCTCTTCCCAGCACAACAACAGATGCAGCACAGTAAATCACTACTCCTGTGACACAACAGCATCATTCAATTTACAGATAAAATACAAAAAGGGTCCCAGAATTAGAGAGGAATACCAGTGGATTTCAGCGATCAAATGTGATCCCTCTTGCCACTGTCCGAAGTGTGACAAAGAAAAGCTTGTTCCACCCACCCAGTGCGAATGTGAGGGAATAAAGAAGTATATTTTAGACATAACGGTACATTTTCTGACTAGGACATGAATCCTTTTTACCTCCTGTGAAGAGACAGAAGCATAAATAAACAGATGGACATTGGTGCACACACACACACACGCATGTGCACTCACGTGCAAACACACATGGAGCATTATTCAAGCTGTGGGGTGCCCCTAAATGTATCCATGTGTGTAAATGTCATCAGTAAATGTCAAAAGCTTTTTGAGGCCTGTCCTGAGGGCATGGAGCCCAGCATATGGGCTGCAGGACTCAGACATACCTTGATTTCCTCGTACTCCTATTCTTAATCTACTTTAAAGAACGCATCTGTGATGAATTAACCAACACATAAGTGAGGGACTTTTGATAAGCCGGAAGCAGAAAAGAGGACAGATGTGATCAGAAGATGATTGACATCCACTCCAGTCAAAGAGCATAAGGAGGAGAGAACAAGAAAGCATCTGTCTTACTTTTCCGTACGATGACATACAAGTGTCTATGTGGGAGAGGGGTAGGAAACAAGTAATTATTATAGAAGAAACGCTCTAGTACAAATTTCACACACAATGTAAACACTGAAGACATGCACACTGTTCAAACCTTTATGTTTGTGTCTCTTAGGGCTATATCCTGATTTAAAAAGGAGCCTTACACTGACTTGAATGGTTACAGGTGTATCTACATTTTGCTAACATACTGTCTTATTTTCCATACCTCGATGTAGGAAACCAGCCTTGGGTAGACCCTGTAAGCTGCCAGCATATGGGACAGAGGGCTGGTGAAGGGGAAGCTGGTGGTCACAGCATGGCTCACTTCAGGTAGAGATATTACCTTGAAGCCAAACTTCTCATACAACTTCTGCAACTCTTCATCTGGCTTTTCTTCACCCTCACACAGGACACTGCCCACCGCATAGCGACATTTGTCTGATGGCCTCTGAGGGGAGAGAATGGGGGAAAGAAAGGATATGCAGCATATTAAACACCTACACTTTCATTTAAAAGGCTTTCAGTGAGTCACCTGGCAGGAGCAGAGACACACAGCAAGGCATCGCCCTCTGTTGGAGGAACATAGAGATATTTTTCATGCAGTTCTACCATATTTATAATGGGGCACATTTCTGCTGGATCTGAAAAGTACTGTATATCACAATTTAATAGGTCTGGGTTTCTTATCCATGAGGGAATGCATAAAGCCTAGTTAACTAAGAAATTAGAAACAAAACAATATAAATAATTCAATTTGAATGTGTAGAATACAGATTTCTTTAATTTGAAAAGGATATGGTGCCAAGTGTTTTTCCATGGATTGTATTCCAAGTAAATTAGATGCATATATCTAGAGGCTGCAAAATCTTACCCAAAAAGCATATTCAATGAAATTTTACAGTAACAACGTATAGCAATGCAATTTATGTGACTGATACACAGACAATCTTGATGAAAGACACCTAAATTGTACAGGTGGGTTGGAGAAAAAAATAATAAACAGACAGATGAAAAAAATCACACACTTTCAATAAAATATATTTATTTAAAGTTTCAAGCTAACAACACTGGTTAGGCATTGAATCTGAGTGAGTCAAAAATGTATCCTCTCATCTGTATCTAGCTGGTAGGAAGCTGTGTGTAATAACAATACTGTCCTTAAATGAATCCATATAAAAATGTATTTTCATTTGCTAACTCCAAAAAAAAACTTTAATTTTAATGTCAACTGACATTAGTAATATCAGCATATCAGTTCTGGCTATTGCAACACTAGTTGATGTCGTCTTTTTCTAGTCACAGTGTATCAGAGAAATGATACAATGGGCCTCATTCATTAGTACTGTAATATTTCCTCATTAAAATTTGTTGGGGGAAAAAAAGACAGCACAAAAATAACTAAACCCTGCAAGTGGTTAATGAAATGTCAGTTTATGTTCATGCGTGTCAACTGCCAATTGACAAAATCAATGCATCATTATTTTATTACATAGGCGTGTTTAAAGTAAACACGGGCCCGGATGAAGGCAGAGCTAAAGAGGACGTAACTAGTCGGTCACAAGTTTGGTCAAAGCTGCATCAGCGCAAAACTGCACAGAGAAGCCCTTTGATTTAAACTCGTGGAGACGCTGCAGCTTCACATAGTCTGAAGTGTCACTGAACAGAAGGCCGCCAGCTCTGGTAAACATCTCACTGCAGATATCAGTCAGCCAGGTCTCGTGTACTGGAAAGCACATTAGTCAAGTGTGTCAGAAACGGTCACTTATTTCTGCAACATGCTACGTGCAAACATTGTTAAAGATATTCCTAATAACAGCTGCAATGACATTTTACATAAAAATGGTTTCTGGGTATCAATAAACCAGCTGTCTTAACCAGATATACAGTAACTGTCACCTTACCTGAAGATTTTTTAGAAATAAAGAAATATTGATAAATCACATAAGTGTGACTGCCATCACACCACAATGTTGTATTGTCTTGTCTGGTGACAACTATCAATAAGGATGATACCTTGTGAGAAACAGTGTGTAAATAACAGACTATACAGACATCAGTCCAGTATGAAAATGTCCGTGTAACATTCTGTGGACACAAATTAAACAAATATAGTGTCTGTAGTGAGAGATTACTCAGCTTTAATACTGCAATGAAAACTGGTAACCAGTGGTGGTCTGGACGGCTGGGCTAATCCAGACAAAGTCTGAGTGTTGCAAAACCCCTGGTATGGTCCTTTAAGACCTACTGCTGGTTCCTGCTCTGTGACAGTGGCCGTCTGTGGAGGGCTGGCACTGAGGGGGCACAGATGGGAGCCAGCAACACTCATCTTCATGTCCCTGGCATCTACGCATAATTACCACATCTAAACGCCACAACCTTCTCTTCTTTTCCATCTCATTTCTCAAATTCTGGGCTATTTTTGACTGCATTATGCTGATACTACACTGCACTATTCCCACTTTGTTCATACGGTACAGCAGCTTTTCTGCCATAATTCAGTGTTGTTGGCTGCCGGTGACACTCCTTGGCTGAGATAAACCTATCTGATCGCCCCACCCCTAACCGTCAGTGCCTCTTAATGTCTGTATCATTAGTAATAACACTGACCGACAGTCACCTGACAAAGACCCTTTCCACCAAGTTCAACAGTGTCTCAGGGAACACAGATCGCCTTGTTTTGGCAGAGAATTCATTTATGGAAATATGAGATATACTACATCATGAAGCAGTAAGGCAGTCACAATGGCTATGTAAGTTTGTTGCGGTAAATTATGGCAATGTAGAATTATCTATTTTATAGTAACATATATGTATAACATATAGTATGTTTGCTACATAGGACATGAGTTGTTTTCATCTGAGGAACTGGGGTCTAAATTTAGTTCTTCTGTTCAACAAACAGTACCTGATCCTTTGCAAGGATCCAGAACTACTGGGATGGAGTTTGCAGTCCATCATTTCTCCAATTTCTCAAATCATCACAGCTTTTCCGACGGTGTGAAAACAAAAAGGAGCCTGTTAATCAGGCCTAAACATCTCAACATCTATTGAATGGGCAGCCATGATATTTTATATAAACATTTATGATCCCCAGGACATGTATCGTGGTGACATTGGTGATACCCTGAATTCTAATGCCACAGGCAGATCAACGTTTATATCTAGTGAAATATCTTCACATCAGCAGTATGGGTTGGCACAAAATTTGTACATTTTGTCCAAGACAGTGTATTTCAAGGACACTGGTGACTTTATCAATCTGACTGATACTTCTTAAATTGCCTGTAAAACTAATGACATTAATTATGTGCCTCAGCTATGTTTATTGTTACCTCACCCAAGGATGGGGGTTATGTTTTTGCCAGTGTTTGTTGGTTTGTTTGTTTGCTGGTTTGTTAAAAGCACAACTCAAAAAGTACTGAACACATTTTGATAACATTTTTTTGGAAAGGTAGGGTATGGCCCATGAAACAATTGATTAGACTTTGTTGCTGATCTCTATCATTATTTGGATACAGGAATATGTCATGATCTCTGGCCATTTCCTGTTTTGAACTTTTATTTTGAAAGGACTTCCTGTCTTGTGCCTCTCTCAACTGTCTCATCTTTACTCTGGCCATTAATTACCTCCAAGTAGTTTCACCTGTTGCTCATTGTCTTCCTGCCTCAGCCCTTATAGCCACATGACCTCCCACAGTCTGACTGCTGGTTGGTCTGTGCTTCGCCCCACATTTGGCTCCCTACCCTTTAGGACTGGTGTTATGCTACTTGATAATTTTCCAGGCATCAAAGTAACCACTTTGAGAATATTTGGTCAGTCTGTCCACGTGGTGCTAATCTACAAATCTGATGTTTTCAGAGATGAGTACTTGTTATCTGACCCTGCTAGCTCATTCAGAACACAGTCTACGGGCAAGGACGCCAGTGTTCCAGCTGCACATTATAGCTATGTTTCCACTGTGTGAAACTAACGAGCAGTACACCCTGTGCTCCCCTTAACTATCACCTGGCATAACATCAAGGTTGATGTGAACCTCTTGCTTTTCCACTGCATTTTTCTGTGTTGGTCTCTGTTTAGAGGAGGGAGGGGCTGTGCTCCTCTCACACAGAAAAATTTCATCAAAATCTGTTCATTACTTTTTGTTGTGGTGTCAACAAACACTGGCAAAAAAACATAACCCCTGCCCTTGGTGGAGGTATTAAACAAGACAGGTTTGCCCAACAGATTTTAATTTAGCTAACAAATCTAAATTCAAACAACTACCTAGGTAGTTCAGTGAATTAACAAATCTACATCAACCGAACTAGGGCAAGAGTTTACACAACGGGCGGTATTTAATTAAGACGGTGCATTTTTTGACTTGATGTAAAACTTTAAGGCAGCCCATTCACTCATTAAGTTGCATCATGTTGTACTTTAGTGTAATGCAGAATTAACATCCAGCCCTTATAACTAACTGTATTTTATATTATCACTGAAATGGATAGGGTTGTTCAGCATTGTCCTCTTTCCTATACAAACACACCGAACGTGTGGGCTGTCGGCAACACTTTTACACAGAGCTACTCCTTGTCGATACTGGCAATCTATGATAAGATGGAACAATAACCATTCGAACACAGAGGGGATAACAACCATCTACTTCCCCTGGTCTTGCTTCAGTGTCTTCTCACTATCTCTTATGCTGTCCGTACTGACAGACTAGAGTGTGTTAGCCAAACCGGTAGTTCACTAATGATATCATTCAGGGCTCCATATATCATTCACATCCCACACAGTGGCAAGAACAAACAGCAGCCCTGACTCTATCTCATCTCTGCTTCCCTCCAGCTAACACACCCTAAAGACTACAGGCAATTAGCAGAGAGGAACACCGCTCCATGTACTTGTCTTGTTTTTCTCACCAAAGCTGTTAGAAAAGGTAGAAATTCTCAGATGCTGTCCACGCTGGGCAGCAGTGCTGTAAGTCATTTGCTGCCAAAGCTGTTTTCATTTCTCACAGGTAGCAGAGGAAAGCTGACTGTGGCTTTTGATTGGCCCACATGAAAAGCAGAGATTCAGATAATGGGAAGACTTTACCTCAGTAACAGAACACTGACACACGTTTCTGTACCAAGCTGCAGAAAAGCAGTTCAGTTGTGTTCTTGTGAATGCCAATGAATGCACGCTGAGGATATGTTCAAGATTTTTCATAAAATGTTAATTTCATTTCAGTATGTCTCTGCTGATTTCAGGTGCAGAAAACAATTTCCTGTATTTCCCTATGCTAAGCAAGCTTGTAAAACTGGAGAAATGTATATACAGCCAACTTTGGTAGCAATCGCGGCCTGCAGGACTGTAAGACAGCTCTCCCTTACAAATGGCGCCATTCCCATCCCTACCTAGTTTGTCTAAGCAAGGTCTCCAAGGACCTGTTGGGTGAAAAAGTAATTTCAAAAGCCGTTCTT